TGTCTTCGCCTCGGCAGGCATCGAACTCGTGGCCTTTTGAGAGTGGGTGCGAACATGAGCCCACACTCTTGACCACTCGGCTATCCCTGCCTTGCACCAATAGTTGTACCTCTCCAAAGATGCCGTGTTGAAGCTTGGCGATCGGTGGGCTGTACCCTTTCGTAAAGTTTCCCTTCCCTCATAAAAAACATCGTGGTCCATATTGATATGAATAGGAATAGCTCGCTGAGCACCGTTCGTTCCTAGGCAGCGTTCTGACATTGCAATAACGCTCGTCGACGCGCCGTAGCGCGTTGTAACGTGCATCAACGCGCGTCGACGTGCGAAAGCGCAACAACGCCGTCTATTCTAGACTATAGACGCATATTTTCCCGTCTGCGGCTATATTCGCAGACGGGAATAAATTGGCGCGGGCTGCTCGCCTGCTGAAAGAGTATGGAGGTGGGTGGGGAGGGGACAGAAATTTATGTATTGTCTGGTCACGCTGACTGGTATCAACACTGGCCAAGCTTTTGCGAGCATTGCCCATATTAAGCTAGTGCGTTCGACACGTAGCCCGCCGTATACAGTCGCCTTTTCGCAGAAGAATTGCAAAGACATCATATCCAGAAACGCAAGGCGCTGTGCTGCTAGGGCTCAAAAAATCCCATAACACCAGATTATTCAAATTGTATGACTACTTTTCAATGTTATTCCCACATCAGCGTTCTGTACATTATGTTTTTGGCTTCCCAACGGCGCCAAGCAGTTTGTTCTATTTTAGCGATATTTCAGGTTTGCGATCAGGTAAAGACATCACCGTATACACGTTCGGCGAACCTCGAGTCGGAGACTATACATTTGCCAAGAAATTCAACTCTATGATTTCTGAGAGGTGAGGAGTGGTTGCAGCCATTGTAGAGTGCAGTTGAAATTTACAGTCGGATCGTTTGCCTCGTTCTGCGGAGGCTAGCAAAGTTCCGGTCCCTCTTGTGTCCCAATAGGCCCCTCGCGGAAGCCGCGTGCATAGCCACTCCTACAGCGCCATTTTTGCTGCACCCGGTTGACTCGGATGTAACGCTCTACCCCATTGAGCGCACGCCTTGTTATTACGGAGAAATTATAGCTTGATTTTGTGGATCAGTTTTCAAATGGAAGCGTGGAAATGAACGAGCCTCTATATTTTCAGCTACCGTGTTGTGCACTCAAAAGACATCGTGCCGCATACACCCTTCTGCATTCCCGCAAACCTGGAGAGTCTCGAATGCCGCGAGTCTCCAGAATGGACCATTCCACCACGGAACGGAGATTTGGTGAGTTACAATGGACGGTTACATTGAACCTGTTGGAATATTACAAAACTTTTTTTACTGAACGAAATTGTCGCTCCTACCTTCCGATGGGCAACGTATCTACGTGCTGCGCAGCGAACTACGCTGCCCGTGTGACGCGCGAGACAAATGTAATTATGTCGTTGATCAGCACAAGAGAGAACAGCTTTCTCTGATGAAAATATCCCATCAGAAAAAAAAGTTACACTCAGCTCAGCTTTGAAAGATAGCGCAATCCCATCCCTCAAATCGCCCGCGGTAAGGAGGCTGTAAGCCTGGACAGAGAATTACATAGCTTCCTCGACTCACACGTAAATTCAATAACAGAATTCTACGGATATACCAGAGTGCCTGAGCACAGATGCGAACAATCGGAAGAGAGTAGTCACATGTGGAACATGCAGTCACCCGTAGTCACCATTGTACTGTGTAGTCAGTGTACGTCCTGTCGCTGAGCAGAAGGATGAGATTTCGACCGATTGAGATGAGACATGATCACGCTCTACCTTTCTGGCTTACATGGGATGCCGCTCACTCTTGAAGATTCTGATGATACAAGTAATGAAGACAAGGTTTTGGACGTAATCAGTGGACAGCCCGACGAAAGCATTCGCCCACTAGACACGCTACAACTTGCGAGAAAGAACCTGTCGTCCTTGGAAATATGCGGACAGTACGGGCGTCAGCGGTGGTGCCGGCGTCCTTGAATCTTTCGGTTCGGCGTTACGCACCAACTCATCAATACGAGGTAAGCTGGAAAGCGTTCTATATGGAATTGGAGAAGTTCTACAAGGGAGATCATGCCTTTTTAAATCATCATCGGTGATTTCAACGCGAAGATCGGACCAAGAAGAACGGCTGGAGGAATTCACATCGGAACTCACGGAACGGAGTGGAATGAGCAGGGTGAAAGGCTGTCTAAGTACAGCATGTCGACCCATACCAATCGTAGGTTAACTGCAATTCCAGCAGCCCTACTCATTCCACGCAAACAGTGTAGCCTTCGGTGTCAATTCCGTTAAGACTTCTGCTCACATCATCTTCAGTCGAGAGGTTTTTGCCTGACGCCATTGCGTGCTTATGAATTCAGCTGAATGCCTTCATCCCGGTTTCTTGTCCTGATATGAGCTTCACCGCTATCAAAAATTTTTCATGGTATGGATGATTGAATACAGATAACAATCTCTAAACAATGATTCTAGAAATGATTCTCGATTTCCCACCGTAGTATACTTCGGGGAATTATCCTGATGAATTTTTGGCATATATACATGTGATTTAAATGTGATATATTAAGTTTGTACTTGTTTAATAATAGGCCTATAAGTCTGCGAACTTGTTTACATTGAAAACATTTGTTAATAATTTTTTTTAAGTACATGCATGAGCATATATTTGATTTTCGCTAAATTTGTTATTATTTTATTATTTCATTTATAATTTGTTTATTTTCGATAAATTTAAATTTACGTTATGACGGTACAGCAACGGGCGGTCATATTTTAGGGAGCAGCCACCTTCGCTGAGAATGCTGCGTACTGAGTGGTTGTTCCCTGCCACTTTTACGACCTCTGATACTGGACGCATCGATTGTTCAGGATTGCACATTGCGGCCGGGGGAATTTCATGCCCACGCCCGTGAAGAATCGCTTCTAAAAATGGCACATCAGTTTTTCAGGTATCCACATTCTATGGAACACGGTTCAGAATATAAGGAGTGTCTCAGCGAGCCTTATGGAGAAGACCCTCACTGTTCAGACAGTCTGTCGTTCCCAGAGATTATCAATATTGAGGATCACACACACTATTTCGGTATAGAGGTAAGTTTCCTACAACGGATTGATTCGGACGAGACATATGCCCCCTATCACTGATACGGAGTAGGCGTGACATTTGAGCGTTGCCCAAAACTCGTGGATTATTTCGGTTTGAGACAGCTGTCATCTTGTTCTATGTTCGATGAAGACATGACCACGTTGTGTCACAATGGAATTATCTTCTCGAAAACACAACCACGTTCAGTTGAAGTACGCAGCCACGCCTACCATATCTCATTGTCAGGGCAGTCCTTCACAATCCATTAGGTTGTCCCAGAAGTTCGTGACATTTTTTTCGGAATCTGCGATCAGATCTTTCTGCAGCTACGTCGAGATCCTTATGTGGTCCAAGAGAAGCGTGCTGAGTAAGTAACCTACAGTTGCTTGTCTTTTGGTCCTACAATCCAGCAATGTTTGCCCACTCCACCACAGCTCAGGGTCACACATTTGGAAAATGACACTGCTCGAGATCCCGAAGCTTAGCTGGGAATTCCACCACAGCCTTCGTGTAGCTCTGACTTATGTCTTTCCGACTGCCACCTGAACAAGTTCCCTCAACTGCCGTCTTCCACGTGAAAAACGATTCCCAAATGCACCTCAAAAATGACCTTGACCTAGTTGCCTTTCTTGGCACGAAACCAAAATTTCCGGATACATGGCCACCACTCTTTGCTCGGTTATGCAGAATTTGCCGTTGAATTTGCTGTAAATATCGTTGATCGAAATTTCTTCGTATCGGTATGAACTTGACCCGAAAAAATGCTCGAAAATCTCACGAACTTTTAGGACAACCTAATATTAGGTTGTCCGGAAAGTTTATTCTGCGGCATGTCCGCAGCGGGAACAAATGGATGGTCGCTCAATCGCTAGATTCGGAAGTCAATGCAGTGAACGATCCACGAATGAAAATTCTTGAATGTCCCATCTTCTTTGGACTGTATTGCGCAAATTGAGGCCCATCTTAACGAAAATGGAGAGGGTAGCGGTTCGGCTCTCGCAGGTATTTATTGGGTCTGCCCCATAAAGTAACTGGCTTTCTTTCACTCGAAATGCGCACTGAGATGAAATTTGGCCAGAACGTTATGCTGTTTTTTATGGAGAATTCCTTGCCCACATGCGACTCTTTTTTAGTTTCGTGGATATTTTCTCTTCCCAGCTATATAGTTCAGTGCTCGACAGCTGGGCAGAAGTCAGGTTCGAAGAAATGTGATTTTCGACGCATCTTCCATTTTATTCTATTAAGAAGCTAGAACCGAACAGACTCAGAAGCCAAATATATGGCAGGGGCAGTGTCTCTTAGAATTGATTACGAAGGTTTCAGAGTTATTGCGACGAGATTTTTCGGTATAGCCCCATCGGCAATCGGATCTATTGCGGAGCCTACCTATTTTAGGTCCGATTGCTCAATTATCAGCTGGGGGATTTCATACAGGGATGGGTAATCGTTTCGAGTCATTGAAATGCTTACTATCATCACCGAACCAGTACCTCAGTTGATGTTAGACGGAAAATGTGCAGGTTTCTACGGACGTCGCTGCCCCGGCGGAATCGCTGCGATTGCACATCTCACGAAAGGTCGGCGACAAACGCCATTGCATGAAATGCTTGACCCAACTGAGCCCGCCCAATAATAAGCAAGCTTCCTTGATCATATATAAATCAAAAGGCTTCGAGCTTCTTCTGTAGTTTGACAGCCTAAGATAAAGTGCAAAAAAAGTAGTTGTCGAAAACAGCACTTTTGGCGTTGACCCCCAATTTACCTTCAGTGAAATAAAATCGACACAATTCTAACAGATAATGAGAAATAATTATGCTATCTTGTAGAGAGAAATTATATCGAAGGTGTAAGAGCTCCATTGAGAAAATGTGTCATTTTTCACAAAAAAATTGTGTGGGGAAAAAACGCCATTAACTTATGGAGGCCAAGCCAACAGCATCAACTTTAGCGCATTATGAGCGCAGCGCGCATTTCCAAGTGAGAGCATCATACTTCTTGCGAACGGCATCAGGAGGCGAGATCGCTCGTTCCTGTGACTATCCAGCACGAGGATCTTAGTTCAGGGAGTGGAAGCAGCTTGACAGTCTGTATCTGGAAGGGATGCTTTGCTTTTTTGAGCGGTCGACTGGAATGCTTTCGGACCATCTAGAGTTTGATGACATCGCGTTCCTAACAACACTGTCTTTTTCAGGTCTCCCAGTATGGGGAAGAAAAATGCACGGAAAAAGATGACAAAAAAATGGGACGAAAAAAAGATAAAGGTAACCAGAAGTGTTTCGGAGTGTTTTATGTCAAAGTTTCAACCATTTCCATTTCGAACGGCAAGGATTCGAGCTGATTCATCTCGAATCAAAATCCACACCCTCTGAGCACATGATCAGGATCCACTAAACACTACTCTGGATTCATAGCGACGGCCGTGCCAGCTTTCTAGCACGGTTATGATTTTTCACATTTCAATAGCATCTGCTTCGGTGACTTGTTTGCACTTTTGTTTTGCCAACCGTATACAGGGGGGGGGGCAAAAAAAGTCACTTCACTTCGACCGAGTCACATATCAGCAAAGTTTTCGCAGCCCAGACAGAGGACGTGGATACGAGTACCAGGGCGGAAGATACCCAAGATGTTCCTCGATAAGCAGGAGCTGGCTCTCGCCCATCACCTTCATGTACACCAAAATATGAAGTCATCTCCAGTCGCAGCCTGACTGGAGAAGACCTTTGGAATTCATGTCACCTCTATGGAGCCACCCATGATAGCTACCTTAGACCAGTACTCTCGATCTGAGCACCTCCAAGCAGCTCCGACAACAGTCGTTACGTCGTCTAGGGACACTCATCTTCACCGCAGTGCGCAATGGAGCGGAATTGATGGTATGCCGGACGTAACCTGTGTGAGATGCCGCTACATTTCCCTCGTGTGACTCGGACTGAAGGTGAGCGCCGGCGGTTACATCGAGCAACTCGAAAAGAATATCCTCCCCACATGTCGTCGCCCGTACCTTCTTGGAAACTTTGTACTGCTACACGCCAAAAAATTGGTGGCCACTCACATGGGACCGGAGGACATTGTAAACACTCGGCTCGGCCTACTCGGAATGGAAGGGCGATGAGTGCTTAAAGGAGATGGAGTATCACATGATGGGATCACCTGGCTGGCGTTCAGCATAGGGTGGTCTACGGTGGCGGAGAAATCGACTATCTCGCTGATCTCAGGCACCACATCGCGGTCGCGTGCCAGAATCTCTCGATGGCGCTCGTCCAGAAGGCTGTGGCGGAGTGTCATGATAGTATTTAATATGCTCTTTAATATGGTGGTAGAAATGTCCGATCAGAATTTAATAAAGTGTAACTTATAGCGCCTCGAAAGTCAATGAAGGAAAGTGACTTTTTTTTGGCTCCCCCCTGTATTCGGCGTCGGAGAAAAGTCGAAAAACGTCTGGGAGGATAAGCGCACTGTCTTGCTCATGGGCTGGCCCTCGGGATTATTGCATAGGCCACATCGCATTCATCAAGAAACAGAAACAATAGTTTGAATGGAAACCGGGTGCATAGCTTATCTTGAAAGAAATAGATCACTTGCGAAAACCGTGCTTTTGTCTTTCGAGAATGGGCGGTGTACTACAGTAAAGACAAGTATGTAGCTTCCCGCATGTGCTCCCGTTTATTGGTGCCTTTATGTCGGTAGGTCAACCCTTTTCAAGGTGTCTGTGCAAAATAGCAAAATGCTTACTCTATGCATATCACCTTTCAATAAAGTGAGGCTTCAGCGCCTTACCTTATGTTAGGAAATGTTGGCAAGTTTAACGGAAATCATTTTTGCGGAGCTCCAGCACCAGAATTGAAGCCCCCCTCATGAGTTGCAATTTCAGGAGACCTTGAAGCACTTTATTTTTTTGCGAATAGGAACGGCTCTTCTTTCTTGGTAACGAACCGTAAGGCCTGGAGTACTCTCAGCAAAGTGGTGGATAACACAAGCGCCCGGCAAGCGGGAGATGCGAGTTCAAGTCCCGGTCGGGTTCGACTTTTGCCCATAACTCAGCAACCTTGGGGCAGCCATTGGATTAAATAGACATCGCGGAATCGAATGCTGGAACGGCTTCGGTAGCTATTCGATTATAATAGACATTGCGGGATCGAATCCTGAAAGCACGTTTGTATATCCACTTATGCATCTTTTATCTCCCATCCGTATATTTCGGCTATGCTATATTTTCCAGGGTTTTGGAGCGAAGTAGAGGTATGGTTTAACGAGTTGTTGAAATTTTTCGACCCGCCTGTTATTTCGTGCCTCTCGGATCTGTGATCAGTACACTGGTGAATATTCGTTATCATTACAAAGGCAATTGTTGTGCATAATAAAAGCATCAGAAACAACAAGGAGTTAGTCTATGTACTATCAAGTGTAGGATTTCTGTTCAGCCTTCATACAGCTGCAGAAGTAATGTGGAACAAGTCCCAATGCGCGTTCTAAATAGTTTCGGAGCTCTACAACGGTTAGACAGAAATAGGCGGAAGGGTGAGGCAGATTAGCGAGGAATTCAACAAGAAAATAGACTCAATCGCCTCTGGATTTGTTGGCCCACATACTCGACTTCCATATAGCCTTCATGATTTCGTGGAGGAAACTCCGAGCGTTGTATACAAGCCACTATAATTCGCACCAATTCTTAATTTCATGAAAGTCTTGCACTGGTTCTGGTGTGTCTTCTTCGCGGTCGACTCATACTGTCAATCAACTAGGTGTTGATGAGATGAGCTGAGGTCTTTCGCCGGTCAATTTGTATCTTGATGCATGCTTCGGGTGGGGAGAAGCTAGATGTCACGTACTTTTGTTTGTATGGAGCCATTTTTGGTGATTTGGAAACAGTTTGGTATGCTCTATTATACGCGATTTTCCTGTTAAATTGGACACTTTCAAAAAAATCGGGACACTTTCAAACCGAATTCGGACACTTCTCAAATCGAATCGACACATCGCTTACAATAGGTCAGTTTTGATGACTAGATCCATAATAGGTGGCCTGCTGCAAGGCTCGCCCCAATACCCGCCGCAGCGCGTCAGTTTTCTTCCGAATGTTTCATGAATCTACTTGCTCGCCTTTTTTTCGTTTTTTGGCTATTTCCAGCAACACACACACTTCAACCAAAAGGGGAGTATGTTGACAAGAAGGATCGTAATTGGCCGCGCTGTGGGTGGCGGTTGTGCGACGTGCGCGCTTCCGGCAAATGACAATCGGTTACAGGTGGTAGATGGTGGCAAGAGGGCAATTCAACGGAACCGGAATACTCATCAGTTTACAATCGACTGATGCTACATGAATTCGGTGGGGCTCCAGTCGACAGGTTTAGTCGCGAGTTAATAAAAGGCGAATTAGCGATCTTTCTTCACCGTCTCCCCAAAAGATTGATACGATAGCGACTCCGCGCCAGTGAAATTATGAACAGGCCTGTTTTTATAATTTGTTTTGCGACGATCGCCTTTTCCATTCAACTCTTCACAAATGCGAATAGCCATGCACAGCACACTAGGCCCCGCCCCTCTGACCAGCCCCCTACGAAGTGCATATTGCGGAATTTCATTTTTTTCCCCGGATTTTGCTTTTTTAGGTTTAAACAGTGGCTCCGGCCCACCAATGGGAAGCTCCTCCGCTTTAAAGCCCGACTTGCAAAAATGGGGGCAACTCGGCCGGGCTAGTGTCCGTATGCGATCAGGCCCTCTCATAGAAATGGAGAAAAAGGGATGAAGACCGGGACAAAAGAAACTTTGTTCTGAGGCGGACGGAGAGGCCGATAATCCGGCCAGTACGCGACAACTAGCCCGCCGATCTGCACCATTTTTGCAAAGTGGGCCTGCTTCTCCAAAGCGGGCGGAGCTTCCATTGGTGGGCGGAGCCACTTGTTAAAACTTAAAAAAGCGAAAATCCGGAAGAAAAACGAAAATTCCGCAATAAGCACCAGTGGGCGTGGTCAGAGGGGCGGGGCCCAGTGGCTCGTGAAGATTCGTCCTTGTGAGAGATTGCAATGTGAAAAGGAACGACGCTCGAAAAAGTTTCTAAACATTCAAACTTACGTAACTTCATTGTTAAGTGGCGGAGTCAGATCTGTATAGGTATCAATCCTTTTCAGTTGAAGTGTGTGTGTGCAAAGGGCAAAAACGAAAAAAGTCGAAGGAGCAGATTTCATGAAGCATTTCGGAAAACCCTGTCCGCGCTGAGAAGTGGGCGGGGATAATGGGGCGGGGCTTGCAACAGTACCTAGTCATGCAAATACCTATTAGTAGGGGATTGTTGTCCGCGAATTTGATTTGAAAAGTGTCCGATTTGATTTGAAAAGTGTCCGATTTGATTTGAAAAGTGTCCGATTTGGTTTGAAAAGTGTCCGATTTAAAGTGAAAATGGTATAATGGTATATATCCACGACATTTCGGTACACAAATCAAGGAAAGTTCAAAGATAATTCGATTGAAACTTCCAATTTTATATCGCTTCTTGCTCCCTTCTCCGAGAACATGCCCCTCACCGCATCTGATCTTTTGATTTCCCTTTTTACTATGTATGATAGCATAAATTCGTTATGTATTAAAATTCTCGGAATAGTTCCGACTTTAGATTATTTTCCTTGTTCACCCTCCAGGAGCACATCTGACTTTCAAGCTGTGCAAAAATCAATGGACGATCTGTGCTCGGAAATCAATTATTGATTTGTTGCTGTTTATAGGTCCTTTATAAATGGAAGAGATGAATAGATGTGAAGTGAAATAAAACCGTTTCGTTCACATTTCTAGAATCTGATGGGAGAATGAGATACGGCGCTTTGGAATGACCAAGGCTTCGGTTGCGCAACGCACACGTGTTCCATTGGAAAGTGCAATGACGTTTAGAAGTGAACATCGCTTGCATAATGACTTTTGCTCTGTGTTGTGCTGCAGGTACATACAAAATCTAGTTAGCATGCTCTAGCCAGATGACTCGACAAATTACAGCACTTCCACGTTAAATCAATTAGATCTTTTTGCGCGAGCGACCTGCGAACTACCCTCCACAATCTCGGCTCAATATTTCCTTTTACAACAGGCATTT